CCTGCCCCAGGGACAGCTGCCATCCTGAGCTCCGTCACCGTAGAGGAGTTGTGCTTGGTCTTGAATGTGTGGCACAGCCTCTGGACCCCAGTGTGCCAGCTGCTTTTGCTCAGCCTGCTCTGGTGCAGGCGGGCAACTGGCTCTTTTCCGGATTCCCCCTCCTCCCACTGACAGTGGCATTCGGAGACTTCAGGGTCTGCTCCCTGAAGAATAAGGCAGCAGGGGCGCTCCCATCAGGGTCTTTGCCAAGAGGGGGAGGGCTTGCTATGTGTGTGCATATTCTTTGATGGGGGTTTTCCTAGTTCAGATTTTTCCCCCAGTTGGGAAGGGGCTAGCTCGGCACCCAGAGAACATGAGGAACTCAGGTTAGATCAAGAGGGTGACTCGTTCTGTGGCTGCCGGCTCATTTTCTACCGCTAAGGTGTGCGGGCACGTGGCATCGAGCTAATGCCGGAGAGGAGGGCAGAGAGGGTTTGCAGGGAGGGGCTGCCCAGAGCCGGGCGTCCGGCCTTGGCACGTCCCATGTCATGGGGGCCACTGGGAGGGTTTCTGTCCCCAGAGAGGATCGCTTGGATTGGTCACTAATCAAATTAGTAGCATCCCTGATCTCTGCCCTCAGGGGCGATGCCACCAAATTGACTTGCTTGGGCTTGTGAGGGGCTCAGTTTGGGACAACTTACTGAGACTCTGAACAAATCAGTCCTCACTCAGCCTGAGAAATGGATTCTTTTAATTTCTGTACTTTTTCTTTTCTTTTTTTTTTTATATATTTTATTGATTTTTTACAGAGAGGAAGGGAGAGGGAGAAACGTCGATGTCTGAGAGAGAAACATCGATTGGCTTCCTCCTGCCTGCCCCCTACTGGGGATCAAGCCTGCAACCTGGGCATGTGCCCTGACCTGGAATCGAACCCGAGACCTTTTGGTGCATGGGATGACACTCAACCAACTGAGCCACACCGGCCAGGTCAATTTCTGGGCTTTAAACCTATTTTCTGTTGCCAGAAAAGGCTGCCAGGGCGCAGGAAGAAGACACGGGACGGGGTAAGGCAGGAAAGTTCCAAGCAGTGAGGACAGGAGGGTAAGAGCAGGTGGGGTCATGGTTGGTGGGGCGTGAGGATGGATGAGATGATCCACCCTCGGCCAACACAAAGCCTTTGCTGGAGACGCCTCCCTGCCTGTGCGGAGAGGAAGCAACCATCTTTATCTCTGCTCAACTAAATTTTTGACAAGTTATAAGAATCATACAAAGAAGTCTTTTTCATGCCCAGATTCCCCAATTCTTAGTATTATATTACGTTTGCTTTTTCTCTATAGAGAAGTAAATAAGAAGATAAATGTAATTTAATTTTTTTTCTTGACTTCTAGGTCATTTTTTATTGTGGTAAAATATACATAATGTAATATTTACCTCAATGATTTTTTAAAGGTATTTTTTCCGTTGACGTTTTTATATATGTATATTTTTATTTCAGAGAGAGAGATAGAAACATCAATGATGAAAATCAGTGATCGGCTGGCTGCCTCCTGCACGCCCCACACTGGGATGGAGCCTGCAACCCAGGCATGTGCCCTTGGCTGGAATCGAACCCGGGACCCTTCAGTCCGTAGACTGACGCTCTATCCACTGAGCCAAACTGGCTAGGGTTCAATGATTTTTTTTACTTATTATTGATTTCAGAGAGGAAGGGAGAGGGGGAGAGGTGAGATAGAAGCATCAATGATGAGAATCATTGATCAGCTGCCTCCTGCACGCCCCCTACTGGGGATCTAGTCCGCAACCTGGACATGTGCCCTGACGGGGAATCAAACTGGCAACTTTTCTGTGCACGGGATGACGCCCAACCAGCTAAGCCACACTGGCCAGGGTGGTGTGATATGATTTTAGATTCTGCCTTGGGGGTCCGGAGGCTGGGCCAGTGTGGGGCAGAACACAGTGGGACTTGGTCTCCAAATCGAGTTGACAAACAAAATTCAGGTGTATCCAGCAAACCTCAAGCAAATGGTGGTCTGTCCGTTTGTGTGGCCATAATAATCACTTCAGTGTGTAGAAACTGGGTAAATGTTTATGAAATCGGGGAGCTGAAATAGTGGTCACAGATCTGAAACCTCCCTCGCTTCTCAGGGGTTTGACGGGGTGGAGAGCGATCTGGTCAGGTAGGAGTCCTGATTGCACGCTGGCCAGCATGTGCCTGTTCTGTCTCTGCATCTCAGATCCTTAACGAATGTCTTCTCTGGTCCCATTGCACAGTCAGTCCAGAGAGTCGAGGTGTAGATGGAAGGGGAGCTTGAAGAATGCAAATACGAATGACCACGAAAAATGATTGTGGGAGAAATGAAATATTTTACAAAGTTTCTCTTTAGTGTATTTTAATGTTTTAAAATCCATTTCAGCCCAGCCAGTGTGGGTCAGTGGTTGAGCATTGACCTATGAATCAGGAGGTCAAGGTTCGATTTCTGGTCAAGGCACCTGCCCGGGTTGCGGGCTCAATCCCCAGTGTGGGGCGTGCAGGAGGCAGCCGATCGATGATTTTTCTCTCATCATTGATGTTTCTTTCTCTCCTCTCCTTTCCTCTCTCTCAAATTAATAAACACATATTAATAAAGACATATTTTAAAAAAATAAAATCAATTTCACGCAGAGCATAACCCCCACACCCCCACAACCAACTGTCCCAGCAACAGCCTGCAGCTCCCTGTGCGCCAGGGTTTAGGGTGTAGGGTTGCACTCCGCCCTCATCTGTCCATCTGTGGGATATCTCTGGGGGTCCTTCCTGGCCCCACAAGTCAGGGCTTGATGTGAGAGGGAAGGGGTTCCAGT